TCTTTCTAGAACAACCAGATAAACTGATCACCTGATTACTGTCTAGGTAAGAAAAATATGAGAGGCCTGACTGCCTACCTTGGCGCACTGCATGTGATTGCAGCCCTCGTTTTTCTGTATAGGAGACTTACAGTTGGCGCAGGGTTTGGAGTTACTGAGCAACCATAAGCAGTTGGCTGCATCCTCATAAGCTTCGCTCACACCAGCCACTTCAACATGGAGGAGGGGGGAGGTAAACAGAACAAATAAAGGCATAATGAGACAGAATGAGAATGGCTATTACCAGAGCATCAAAACAGACCAATGCACTGAGTGGGAAATCGTCCAGCCTGATTAATGTATATTGCTAATATATTTTGCTAACATCTCCCAAGATGCTCATGCACCCACCTACACACACACAAAGAGAATAATTGGCTATTATCAAAGCACCTTTGATGTGCTGCTGAAATGCCAAGATAAAACAGAATCTGGGGGAAATCGAAGTGGAAGATAGTTCCGAAACCAAATAATTGCTTTATCTTCCAACTGTCACATCAACCAAGTGGCACTCAAGAGCAGCTGGGGTATCTTAAATCATCTATTAGATTGCCCAGAGTCCAATTAATGTTTCTAAACACCACAAACTTTTATTGAGCGGGTTGCTCGTCTTAATTAATAATTTATCATCGACGTGGTGGATTTTAATTAGCCTAATGCTAAACGGTTTGTAATTACTGTGGTTGAGTTCCAGGCAATTTAACTCCAAATCAGTCACTTTTGTGCACCCTGAAAAATCTGGGCAAATAAAGACACTGGCTAATAAACTTCTTTATGATCCGTAACCTCCAGGTAACAACACAATTCTACTCTGTGGTTTAGAGCTGGGCGATATAAGATTTTTTCATATCACGATATGTTTTTTTCATTTCAGGCGATAACGATATATATCACGATATAAGCCAAATAAATATATATGAAAGATTTAAATGTGCTGTTGCTCACAAGTAAAACGTGAAATAATCAGCAACTTGTTTTGATTTAAATATTTACTTCCCATAATAAGTTCAACAGGGCAGATGTACTTAAAATGAGATCTTCAGTTTAGGCAAAATAAAGGCAAATATTACAAACTACACAAAAGGTAGTTTGTAATAGAACAAACAAAACAGACTACTAAATTGTCAGTTCCACTTAGAAACAAAATATGAATTCTAAAAATAAATCTTAGTTTATTTTACAGAAGAAGAGACAAAATTGACTAACTTATATAATATTGCTTTGGAAGCCCTGTCTGAGAGAAATGTTTATGTCCAGGGAGTTGGTAACGAGGATCCATTACCTTAATTAGCTGCTTGAATCCTTCATTGTCGACCGTGTTTATTGGTAGCATGTCTTTAGCAAGACAGTAAGCTATGGCATTCGTTATGTTGCTATGTCTCTTAGCTTTTTTGTCATATGGTAAGACGCTGGAGAAAGCAGACTCAATTGACTGTTGCTGCTTCACAGGGATTCCC